GAGGAGGCTGGGTGGGCCCCAGAGCCGGTCTGGACGCAGAAGCTAGAGGAAAAAGCCTCTGCCCCCGTCGGGGATCGAACCCCGGTCGTCCAGCCCGTAGCTAGTCACTATACTGACTGAGTTATCCCGGCTCATGATCGCACCTCGTGTGTATATATATATATAAAAAATATGATTGCTTTGCTGTATATTGAACATTAGATCTTAAGATGAGTGACATGATCTCAAAATAAGTGGCTTCACCATTTCTCCTTATGAAGAGAATGATGCCCTATTGTCTCTACTTTATTCATTATATACAAATTATTACCGTTAATCATAGTAATTTCAGCAGTTGATACAGCATAGTAAATAACCCAAGAATCATTATCTCATATTCATTCCTTGGAATTGCTTTTCCCTTATGAAAATATTTCTGTACTAGGGAGCAGTGAAGGATGGCAGCGCACCAGATGGAACAAGTTATGTGGATGCTGCAGAGAAAGAGGAAATCAAGGAGCTTCTGAAATAAAATGATAATATGACACACTAGCCAGTTTGGGCTTTGTTAAAATTATTAAGCTTTTTATGAATGGATAATTGAGCATTTGTCAGGTGTTGGTTATGAATTGTGCCGCATCAGTTCCAGAAACCACGTCTCAGATGGTGATATCCAAGTTACTGTTGTTATCTTTAATTTCCTGCTTCTAATCAGTTAAGTTGTATATCTTGTATGAACACTACTTGTTTCACAAATATTCATGTTATGAAAAACTGCAAAGCTGTCACAACAGGGTATGATTGCCAGCAGAAGTGTGTTAAACTAATTATATCCAATCCTAGCTTTGCTGTTGGTTTCCAGGCTCAAATCCAGTATTAAAATTATAATATGGTGCATGGATTGTAACATACTTATTCCTTGTTCCACTGAAGCATGGCATAATTTATGATTGTCTTAGAAAGAGTCTTGAAAGGCTGTAGTGTAATTAATCCATCCAAAGCAGTGCTTATAGCATTATCTCATGATGTATTTTGTGTGATCTGCAGAGTGGAGCTAACACACCTCTCATGCAGTCTATTGCAGGGCAACCAACATACCCAGCTAGTCTGTTTCCTGTTTTGTGTGTTGGTTTATGCTGCATGGGTTCTTGTTAAGTTGTCATATGTATTATATTGCAAGAGTGAGACACCCTCTCTCCTAAGGGGTGTTACAAGTTCTATCCCAGTTAGGGATTGTATAAAGTATATGGAAGAAGTGTGTAGTGGTACTTATTTTTTAATGTGTCATGCTTTCATTAAGGAACATCTGCAAAACCTGTTTCTTGTTGGCCTAAAAATTTGGTGGATCAATGAATTGATCAAAATAAGAGATGGATAAAGAGAAAACTATTTTTTAAGTGTTTAAATTAATATATCTAGGCAATATTTATCTTCCTATATATCTGTCCAACTTTTGATTCTCACATATAGAGGAGGAAGACTGTCCTTGATAGATGTAGTCTACCTGCTTTGTATGATAATTCTTTTGAGCTCCAGCATAAAGCTGTAAATATTTGTAATTTGTTAATGAAATTTTTAAAAAGTGCTTGTTGCCACCTTTTAGAGTTGGTATTGGAATTTTGTGTAATTGTTGACTTCTGCTAATTCAAAATATGAAGATGTATTATTTGTTATATGTTAAGTAACCTTATCTAGAATTTTATATATATATTTTTCTTTTTAGTGTCATTCAGATGTCTGTAATTAAAAAAATTAACCTTGATAAGAAATAAATTTATTATTCTTTTGGAAGAATATGTCGTTTATTTCAGAACATATCCAGTCACTGAAGTCTGTCCAGCATTAAATATATGATGAATGTTATGAACTATTATTTCGAGTGGTGCCAATTACATGTAATTTCAAAGAAACTTGGTATTATATCTACACCAAATTCTCTGAAGCTGTTTTTGGTGTATGTTTTGAGTCATTTTAAGCATGTCTTAAAGATCTTATTTTTATATTGTCTTGACAAGATGTAGATGAAATTTGCCACATTTTGAATTCCTAACTAACCAACCAACTCCATGGAACAGAGTTGTTTTCAAGAGCTGTCACTCGGCTGGTCAAATTTTCCACCTCTTATGTGACTTGAATATTAAGCACAAGAGTTTGCTGTCAGGTCCTGTTCTAAGCCAGATGAATTTAGTTCACATCCTCAACCTATTTCCTCAAGATCCCAATTTGTCCAGGTATCTTCAGTCTTTCAACCATAATTTTGTATGAATTTCACTTTTATTCATTTAAAGAGGAATTTTATCCAAGAGTCATGAGTCCTTTCAACAGATTTTGATGGACCTTTGTATATGGCACTTACATAACTGAGACTATACAGTGTACTGGTTTTATTCACTGTAGCCACTCTAATTAATTTTAAGGCTCACATTACCTCACTGTCTAAATATATTTTTGGGCACACATGACTAAGTATTCACACAAGAGAAAATCACATTGCCTATTAATTTACACAATTGAAAGTGGTGCCTGATCTCTTGAAACCTGGACATTTTGTTCAATAGCCAGATTTCTGCAATCACATATATCAGTATACCTTGTTGTTTGTTTTTTGGCTGTACAACCCAGTTGTGGGTTTTTGCTGCCTCCTTTTTGGAGGTTTCTTGGTCTTGAAGTGTGTATTTATGAGTAGTGAGTGACCAGCCCACTGACTGCACAATTTCTACTCAATCCTGATTTGACTGTCAGATCCGTCTAGCAGTTAATCAGGAGACTTGTGTGAGAAATGGCCACTGAATTTTGCTTACAAAACATCTCATATCACTCTCATAAAGTTCTATTACATGCTGTAAATCTACGACATGGGACCCATCGGCTTTATTTCCCCTCTGAAGGAATTTGTGTGGATTTTTATCACCCTGGAAAAATCCATCAACCTCGGCTGGGATTGAACCCGCGAACCTTGGGTCCGATGTCAAGCACGCTGACCACTAGTCCACTGAGGGCAATTTCAGTATACTTCAAAATAGTAGTATTTAAGTCGTATTTACACAGTGATGATCTGTTCTCTTTATTTATATGCTGTGGTTTTGGAATGGCAGAAATGTCCAAAACCATCCTTGAATCTTTGGATTTTGTATTTTCTCTGTAGCGCTTCATTTATCAAGAGAGCACAAATTAAAGAGTTAACATTCTCATATAAACTCCCTTGCATAATCTGTTTTTGGATTTTAGTTTGATGCCAACCAATTTTACTACAGGCCTATTTATTACCGTGAAATAAATCACTGATATCTATTACAGGAAAATCATAATCTGAAATATTATCTAACACAGTTGTGAATCTTCATAATCACTGTAAATGTGGTCAATACTGCTCAGGCTCTGAGATGCCTTCTTCCTTGATCTGCATTCGAAACCAGAAGAAACCCAGTTATCATAATCGTATGTCAGTGGCAAAAGACACCTGTGAGATGTGTAGGCCTGTGCTTGGCCAGGAAGAACTGTCTGTGATTCATTTACAAACACACAAACTGCCCCTCCCCTAGCCATACCTGTGTTTCTAAGAAACATTTCTTGAGATATACCAGGGGAATTAGTCACCAAACAGAAGCTACAGCCACAATTAATATTTTATTTTGCATTATCATTTTCAAGGCCAATGTACCTATTTTGCAATCAGAGTAATGATAGATCAATCACTAGAATAAGTCAGATCTTGATTCCCAAGATGGGCACTGGGATGTCTTTTCACATCCAGAAAATATCTGGGAACC